TTCCTTTTTTTCATTAATTCCTTCCTTCCTTCCTTCCTTCCTTCCTTCCTTCCTTCCTTCCTTCCTTCCTTCCTTTATACAGAGGCCACACACAGGCTCCTCTATTTCAGCCACTGTCTGCTTTGTTTGGCTTCGGGCTGCGGCCTCCATTCCTTTCCAGGCCAAGTGTTAAGTGCAGTCAACCAGGAAATTTAGGGGGTGAGGAGCGTTTTGGTTTATGCTATAACTGGCCAGCACCTTAAGCTGAGGGCCGTGTATTTTGGGTAACTGTCACAACAGAGATTTAGGTTAAGAGTGGACACGCGGCAGAGTTATTAAAATGTGCATAAAGAGATTTAGGAAGTTGTGCAACATTTACTATTTTGGCACGGTTTGCATCATGACTTCTGCTGTTTATCCTTCTGTAGCATGTTAAATGCTAAGCCTGCAAGCTTGATTTAAAATCTGCAGATGCCTGTTTTGCCATATGCGCTGTCCTAGAGCGGTGGAGGCAGAATGAACGTGAGCTTTACTTTAAAGTGATACTGTTGTTACTCTGTGGCAGTACTAGAAAGTAACCCTGGGTTAACGCCAACCATGTTATGTCCTCATTAAACACACAGATGGTGGAGTTTGTGTGAATCCAGTGATGAGATCAAGCTAAACGTTCAAATGTGGTGGAGCTTGATCATGGCCATGTTTATAAACCTACAGCTGCATGAAAAGTATTCAAACCCATTTTTTTCTTTTCTTTTTTTATCTTTTAAGATTTTTTTTTGTCACACTAAACACCAGAATGTCAGACTTTCTATTTGCTACAAACTGCAGACAAAGATTGGATGAAGAGGATTTTCTCAGAAAGGACTAACATTTTACATTTTAGTCAATATGCCAGACACAAGACAGTCGTGCAAACCATGCACTCTCTAAGTAAAACATAGTGGTGACAGAATCATGCTATGGGAATTATTTGTTTTAGCAGGAGAAGGGGACCAGGTTAGATGCATGAAGCTTATCACAGGGCAATATTGGAATAAAAGCGGAGATTTGTCTTCCAGCAAGACAACAAACCTAAACACATCCAGACTGCAGTAGACTGGATTATATCAAAGGATCTTCATGTCTTAGAGTGGCTTAATTGAACGTCTAGGCAGAAAGCCAGCGGAGAATCTGCTGTAAATGCAGATAAATGTTCTTCTATAAAGAAGAGTTTCAGGTAAAGAAACATTTGAACATGTCGAAAAATGTGAAATGTTTTAAGAGATATAAAAAAAAAATCTGCAATGTACTGATTTGTTTTATGTAAAGAGTGATACCTGATAAAAATATACACCCACCCATGCTGGGAGTCATTTTCAAATGTTTACTGTTCAGTTGTGGTGGAACAGGACAGCGCAGCAGCACAGCAGTACAGCAGGCGGGGCTGTCCCACCGGGCTCCGGGCAGACCTCTGGGCCCTCATCCTGAACTCCACCAACCAGCCGCAGGTACGGCAGCAGATGCTTACTTCACGGCTCATTTGCACAGCTGCACCGCTTCCCAAGCTGTTCACTCCGATTCTTTTCAGCTGCTTCTTCCTCCTCCCTACTTCAAATGCTTCTACTCTGCTACTCCTTCACAGGATACTTTAAAACCAACACACGTAACACCGACTGACCGATAAACTCGACACAATCTGTGTGTTTGCTGCCGTGGTGTTTATTTAAGCTGGTCCCAGCTTGTCCTGTGTGTTCAGTTGTTAGGATAATCAAATTCTTTAGTTAGGTTAGCCCAAACAGTCCTGCTCATCTGCCTGTGTGGCAAAACTCCCCGGTCCACTATTATCTACGGAGGCCCGGTTTGGAAAATATTGCTCAAGATCAGAGGGATGATTCGATAAAGTGACTGAGAAGTTCTGGACAACATCGGAGGACAAACACTTTGAAGCATATTAAGGAGAGATGTTGCTCCATGTGTCCAAAAAGGCCTTATTCTCACACACAGAGGGGTTAAACTATAGAAATACCTGCAGTTTTTGTTTTAGAAACATAAACTCTAAAAAAAGAATAATTTGAACTTAGATTAAAGAAAAAAGAAAAAGAATGGAAAAGAAAATACAGGAAAATTAGGAAATAAAAATCATAAGCTTTATTCAAAATAATTCAAAGAACTTTATTAATCCCAAAGGTAAATTTAATTAATAAAAATTTGACCTTTTTAAGTTTATAATAGCTTCAAAGGCCTTTTAAGCTGCAGCTCTTGACCTCCTGTTTCAATAGGGCAGTAATATAAGGGGGGCAAAATAACCTCCAACTCTCACTGTTAGAGAGCTGCTGCAAACTGTGCCATAAGAGAATAACCTAATCTCCATAGCAACCATTTAAAGTAGCTTAAAGTGAGGCAGTCTCTGCTCTTATTGATGGTGCGTCCAGAGACACAAACATGGAGAGCAGAGCAACCGCGATAATGTTAGTAATGCGACAGAGTCGACGCACGAGGCGGATTTTTTTCTCCGCCTTATTCGCCACAGAGTCGTTGTGACAAAATTAACGGCAAGTCATTATTTTAGACTAATTAAATACACTAATCAGACTAATCTTGTCCTAAACTCCTTTTTTTAAACAATTATTTTCCCTTTAATGTTTTTTTCCAACAGCTAGACATCAAACTAGACTGGACAGATAATGCAGAATACTTTTATCTAATTATAATACATTTAGTATGTTGTATGTACTTGAAGAAAATCATGATATATTACATTTTTCTATGATAAGAAAATCCTTTAACTTATTGTTGTGTCTCTAATTTAACTACAGTTTGTAGGAAGAATAGTGAGGCTGTAGAGAGCAGCTGTCCTCCATGGTGAGGTCATATCCCAGCTACGCCAACAGCAAACCTGAGGGGGGCGCCAAACCGAGTTTTAGACACTAAAGCAGGATTTTACCAATGTGCAGTAAATTGTCAAAATAATGCCTGTGACTTGTAGACAGCACTATAAACCATCTTTTTACATCGTAAATCTGAAAGAACTATTGAATATGTGCTTTTTTTTAAATAAGAAAATACGTTTAGCGGGGATGCAAAAGAAAGTTTTCTCTAAAATGTAATAATCAGCCTTTAACTAGTCTAAAACAAGACAGAGGCTGGATAAAAGCATGCAGACTGAAAACAATTGCTCATGTTACAGTGATGCGCATCACATTAAACTCTATAAAATGCAGGATGAGTTCACTGAGAGTTTGCCTCCTGTTTAGGCTTTTCTTAAGTCGCGTTAATGACAAAGTTAAAATGCTGCTTATTGCACAGCATAACTTCTGTACTATGGTTAATATGTTTGCATTGATTTAAAGAAATAACTCTTAAAAGATGTAAGCCGTTCAGTTCAATAAATTTAAAGCATATTCACTCAACTAAATTACATTTCAAAGTACCAACTGTTTCAGGTATTTATTTCCAAAAATATTTAACTTTATAAACTCAGCTTATCTAACCAGGATGTCTGTTTCTAATCCAGTCTAGGCATACATCTCTCCAGCAGTAGTAAAACGAAAAAAGCATTACCAAATTGAAAATATGATCTGCTTTTATTTACATCAGTGAGGAAGGGGAATATCTGAGAGGTAACTATGAAGCCAAAACTGATGGAGTTCCCGTTTTATTAGCAGGTTCTGTTCTTTAGGCCCCACATAACTAGTCCTGGTTGATTCAGTGTCCTGTCGCCGTCTTCTTCTTCTTCTTCTTCCCCTCTTCCAACCGGAGCGCTGATCATTGTCAAGATGCTCAGAGAATGTCACCTCTGACATTTTTATCGCCCCCTTTGGCTCATTAATGAAAACCTGTCTAAAACCGGAGACACTTGGAGATGAAGCATGCGCTCGGATTTAACTGGGCTGTCATCACAGTTATTGGGAGGATGTAATTTAATAGTGTCTATGAAGGAAGTGAGAGGTTCTGTTTCTTCTTTTTTTTTTTTTTTTACAAATACTACACTCAAAGTGTGAGTATTTTATCTCTAAAATAAAAAAAAGCTCACAAAGTTGTTGATTTTTGTTCAGTTTATTAAATGGTGCTGAATCTTTACCCTTTCAGGACGTCATGCATTATGAGCAACTCAGAGCCGGAGTGATCCAACACGACCTGCTGGTGGATAACCTCATCTACAAGGTGAGCTGTCGCTGCTCATTATCTGTAGGGAATTAAGCTTTTTCTTTCTACGACCACATTCGTCCGAGTTCTCCTCGCGGCCCTACATGTTAACGTACAGCTGTATATGCGTATAAATTCTCAGAGTTTAGGTTGGAGCCTAAAAATGTACACACATCTGTTGAAATGCCAGATTTCTGTGAAGGAAAACCATCACAGCATCATAAATATTACATAACTCCCTTTTTCCCCTCCATAATTTGACTTATACATGCATACTTAAAGCACAGCAGTAATTTTCATAGAAGTTACAAAGGACAGAGACATACAGTGTGTATATGTGTATATAGATATACAGGGGCCTTGCAAAAGTATTCAGCCCCCTTGAACTTTTCAACCTATTGCCACATTTCTAGGTTCTAAGATAAAGATCTAAAATTTTATTTTTGTGAATAATCCACAACAAGCGGGACACATTCATGAAGTGGAAATAAACGTATTAGATATTTTAAACTCTTTTAACAAATTAAAAACTGAAGAGTGGGACGTGCCACAGTAATTGGCTGTTTTGATTGAAGTGCAGCAAACTCTCCAGAAGTTCAGTGAGGATCTCTGAATGATCCAATGTTGACCTAAATAACTGATGATGATCTGATGTGAGAAATCAAGTCTATGTATAAATGCACCTGCTCCGGGATAATCTCAGAGATTTGTTTAGTGCAGAGAGTATCGTAAAGAACAAGGAACACCAGGCGGGTGCAGCAGAGATACTGCTGTGGAGAAGTTTAAAGCTGGATTTGGATGCAAAAAGATTTTCCAAACTTCAAAGGAGCGCTGTGTGAGTGACAATATTAAAACGGAAGGAGTATCAGACCTCTGCGAATCTATGAAGACCCGGCCGTCCTTCTAAACAAAGATAAGACTGATCAGAGATGCGGCCAAGAGGCCCATGATCACTCTGGATGGACTGCAGAGATCACCAGCCGAGGTGGGAGACTGTCCATAGGACAACAATCAGTCATATATTGTACAAATCTCACCTTTATGGAAGAAAGACATCTCTTAGAGATATTCATTAAAAGGTCCATAAGCCGCCTGGGAGACACAGAAGGTGCTCTGCTCAGATGAAACCAAAATCAAAATTTTTGGCAACAATGAAAAACATGTTTGGCGTAAAAGCAACACAACTCTTCACCTTGAACGCACCACTCCTCTATCCAACATGGTGGTGGCAGCATCATGGTTTGGGCTTGCATTTTTTTCAGCAGGGACAGGGAAGATGGATAAAATTGATGTGAGGATGGATGGAGCCAAATACAGGACCATTCTGGAAGAAGAACTGTTGAAGTCTGCAAAATACCTGAGAGGGACGGAAATTTATCTTCCAACAAGACAATGATCCGAAACATGAAGCTAAATCTACAATAGAATGGTTCTCTAATAAACACATCCAGGTATTAGAATGGCCAGGTCTGAGTCCAGGTCTGAATCTAATGAAGAATCTGTGGAAAGAACTGTAAACTGCTGTTCACAAACGCTCTCCATCCAACCTCACTGAAATCCAACTGTTTTGCAGGGAGGATGGGGAAGAGAATTTGACTCTCTCAAAGTGCAAAACGGATAGAGACAAACCCCAAATGACTTGCAGCTGTATGCACAGCAAAAGGTGGTGCTACAAAGTATTAACTGAAATGGCTCAGTAATTTTACACACCCAATTTTTCATTTTTTTTTATATCCATATCTGGTGAATAAAATTCATCTCATTATATCCATAATATCCAATAAATGTTGTTGCACTTCATGATCGGGCCCCACATGTTGATTCTTCACAAAAATCTACAGTTTTCAATTTTTTTGTTTGAAGCCTGAAAATATGGCGAAGTTTTGAAAAGTTAATGGGGGCTGAATACTTACTGGATATCATTGAACAGGAGAAAGCATCGACTTTAAAGTAGTCTGGAAACTGATCAGTGAGGCTTCATGGATTAAATAATCCACACACCTTATAGTGTGTTGATCAGCTGAACTCCTAAGAAACCAAACTTTAACTTTGGCTCCTAAGTGCAAAAAAAAAAAAAACTTGGATCAGAAGCCAAACAGAGCTTACATTGTAGTGGCAGCATCATTCAGGGGACTTTATTTTTTCTTTAGATGGAACTAGGGTTTTTTTTTTAATCTTCTTTTTTTCAACCAAGGTGGAGCAAATTCCAAATATTTGTCTTAAAATCGTCTTCTCAACAGATACAAATGCATTTTTTCCCAAGATCACAGTAAGTCCCAGCGTTTGGCTTTATCAGAAGAAAATAACATTTTTGGGATGTCTAAATTTGACTTGAAATCTGAGCGGTCGCCCTCAGACGGGCCATAGACATAATATGTCCTCAATTTAAAAGAGTTAGAGAGGATTATTTTAAAACATGACAAAAATCAAGATTCGGGAAGCAAAATAAATCCTAAAGAGGAAGATCCTGAAAGAGAAGCGTTGTGGTTTTTATGTCCCTTTACATAAAATGTGTTTTTCAGTGCTAAGATACAGGATGAATGTTACAGAAAAGATGTATTTATCTAGATTTCCACTGTGTTGATATACTGATATTAAAATCCTCTGCCTTTAATAGGACGTTAAACTCACCGCCAGCAACGATGACTACTACTTTGTATTTGAGGACTTCCTCTATCAGGTCAGCTCTCTTTCCTTTAATAACCACTCATTCTACCTCATTAAGCCTCAACTTGGGTTGAATCATCAGTTTCTAACCTTATTACAGATTTTTTTCTTTTGTTTATCCATTAACAACTTTTTTATTTCTTTTTCTCCGCCTGACGTAAATCATCTTCCAGTTTGGCCACCCTTAATGTTTATCCCTCCTGTGTGACAGCAGTGGATTTTATCTGCTGTTATACTCTCCAACCAGCCATTAATACCCTCTCTGTTAGTCGCCACTTTATCTGTCTTTGACGTACGTCTGATAAACGTGTTTCTGCTCTCGGTAAACGGGTTCCTTCAGCAGCTGCCTGTTTGTCCTGCTCCTCGGTGACAAACCAATGAGTGCAGGGTGGTTTATCCAAGACCCTGCTCCTGCATCCTAGTCAATATTGACTAATGGCAGACTCACTAAGCAGTGAAAGAATCCACTTCATGTCAAGAAGTTGGTTCAGAGATGACAGAAGAAAGCAGGGAGGGTTCCTAAGAAAACCAAGAGGGCGCTTTCCTAGAACGGTTACATCCCAGAGAAGACGCGTTGTTTTTTTTTTGCAGGGATGTTTCTTTAGGTGTATTTGAATAGGTTTCTCTCAGATCTTAGACACACTTTGAAAACAAAAAAAAGTTAGAAACTTAACTGCATTTCCCACAGTCTAACCAGGCTGTCTGTGATATTAGAAATAATAAGGTGGAATGGTTGTTGTTATGTTATCAGCTAGGGCTAAACTGGTGATCTATTTAAACTGAATGTATCTTTAGAGCCTGTTTTTATCATCTTCTAAAGACAGGAAGTGTATATGTTGCAGTAATCATAGCGGAAAATCTCTCAGTTAATATCAATCTGGAAACCACCAGAACATGTGATGAGCTTTGGAACTGAACGAAAACTAATTTCCTCCTGCAATTTTTTGAAGATATCTTCCACTTAACCGACTATTTCCATTAAAACCCTTCTCCACCCGATGCTCTGCTCATCCTGCTTGGGTCCAGAGGGAGCCTTTAAAAGCATGAATCCTTGGTGGCTGCTTAAATACTTCTGAGTATTACATCTTAGCTCTCAATGTTTTTTGCGGCATCTGGATTACAAAATGATCACATAACAAAAATAATAACTGCTGAATAAAAACATTGTAATAAAATCAGATGGATTACAATCCTGATTATTTAGGAAGTTATTGTTGCACCCCGTTCCTTAGAACGGCATCTTGAGAAAACGCCCTGGTCTCATCGTTATGCATGGCGGTAGATATGTGATGCTGTGGTCCTGTTCTGAAGGCTGTGATAATAGTAATTAAAGTGAAACCACTTAAAGTGAAATAAGTAGTATGGTTTTAAGGCCAAATCTGCTCAGAAAGGTTCACCAAACACAAAATCAGTGTTTTTCTTTAAGCATCTCAATCCTGAAGCTAAACAGAGGATCAGAGAGGATTATAGGATTAATGTACGATGGATTCTATTTTATCAGTGCAAGTAATACATTTATTAAATGGAAATTCATCCAGATATGAAACTTTCATTTTTAATCAGAAAAGATTTTGGAATTTGTTTTGCTGTTTATAGTATATTTTTCTACTTTTCCTTTTAATATTTTAGTTTTTTTCTAATTTTATTTTTGCTATTTTTCCGACTAAATGTTGCAGATTACATTCTTTTCAACTTGGGATGTACAGGGGATTCGTTTCATGAAGCAGGTTTGACAAATTCAGATTCAAATTTGAATTAATTTAGCCTAAAATCTGGAACTCTGATTGTTCAGTTTCACAGCGGCTACTATCAATTAGTTCGATCAATTTTTAACTAGGTCCACTCAGAGTTAAGCGCATGTGCAACAAGTATTAAAAGCCATTATCAGTGTAGCACCGATTCGACGAGTCACCATGACAACAAGCAACAAGAAGTGTCTATTTTACCCCACTGGAACTAGATATTTTAATGTAGAAATGCAAAAATATAAAATAAAAAATAGGAATGTGTTTAAAAGAGAGAAACAGCACCACAGCTACAAAGAAGAGGAATGTGGCGAAGGAGAAGATTGTTGCTTGAGTTAATGCATAAGTTTATATGAAGTGGGCTATGGCAGGCCCTTTTTACATTTAATAAAATCCTTCTCCTCTCTGTTGTTCCATTTATAGATCACTAAAATAAGATTCTTCCTGATCAAAACCACACTCCTAGACCTAACTGTAATAATATATTTTCTAAATTACAGCACATTTTGACACATTTGTACATATTTACAGAGAGTGTATAAAAGAGCCTTTGTGACTGCAGTAAAAGAAACCTCATGTTTTGAGTCTTATAGGGATGGATTGAATAATTCTTTCCTCTTGAAGTCCCATCCATCCTTATACGCTCTGATCTTTTGTTTGCTTCCAGGTTCTATTGTGTTTCTCTCGAGACACGGCAGTTCTGGAGCATTTCAAGTACAACAGCGCCACTCCTCCTAAATCCTACCTACATGGTGAGATGCGTTTTAATCACCAGAACAGATAACATCCTCCAGATTAAGATTAACACTGCCATGTTTGGTCTTCCTCGAAGGGAAAGTGGGAGATGGAGAATATGCTGTTGTTTACCCTCCAAACGGTGAGCTAATGTTTAAAGATTGTTTCTGATTTTTTTTAAACGGAAAGAAAATGCGTTGTTTACATTTTGATTTTCTCAGGTGTTATCCCCTTCCATGGCTTTTCTATGTACGGTGAGTTGCATGATGCGCTACCTTTTAATGGTTTTATTCAGTGTGAACTGAATAGAGAGGATCTAACCTGTGGATGCTTTCTCAGTGGCCCCCTTGTGTTTCCTGTACAACGAGCCGTCCAAACTATACAGCGTCTTCCGGGAAATGTATATCCGCTACTTTTTTAGGCTGCACTCCATCTCCTCCTCTCATTCAGTAGGTTTTTTTGTTTGTTATTAGTTAAATATCAACTCCTAATTGCTTCTTCTCTCCCCTAGCGACTGCTTACACGTCATATTGTTGTGCTTCTGCTGCAGGGTATAGTGTCCCTCTGCCTGCAGTTTGAGCGTCTCCTCCAAACCCACCTGCCTCAGCTCTTTTACCACCTTCGACTGATCGGCGCCCAGCCGTGAGTTTAAACTGTTCTTTTATGACATGAACATACAGTGAGGAAAATAAGTATTTGAACACCCTTCCATTTTGCAAGTTTTTGCAAGAAAATCAATGTGGAGGAGTGGGCCAAAATCCCTCCTGCAGTGTATGCAAACGTGATGAAAAACAGGAAACATTTGAACCTCTGGAATTGCAAACAAAGACTACTGTACCAAATATTAGCATAGATTTTCTCAGGTGTTTAAATACTTATTTGCAGCTGTATCATACAAATAGTTAGATAAAAATCCTACATTGTGTTTTCTGGATTTTTTATTTATTTTTTTATTGTCTCTCCCGGTGTACATGCACCTACGATGAAAATTTCAGACCTCTCCATGATTTCTAAGTGGGAGAACTTGCAAAATAGCAGGGTGTTCAGAACCTTATTTTCCTCACTGTACGTTACTGTCTCAAAGCTGCTCATATCCTTCACATTTTGTCAGACTACAGCCACACATCTCTGTTGGTATTGTATGTGAAAGTAAAGAACAAATTGTGAAGTGGAAGAAAAGTTAACAATACTCTTATTAAAAGGTGATGCATTTGGTTTAGTCCCATTTATTTCCTAATATTTATAATTACCTATCTGTCATCAGTGTAAACACTGCATATGCAGAGAAACATAGTGGGGGAAAGGCGGTGGGGAAACCGATGGAGTCAAATCAAGGTCGAGGCAGGAATCCAGTCAACAGTTTTCATCGAGGCTTTAAAACTTGTCTGAGCTTGAGCCGTTTTGTAACAAAAATAAACAAAAATCTGTCAATAGAATTGCAAAGTTGGAAGCGAGTTACACTAAATGATCTGTAGCTGCAACTGCAATTAAAGACTCTGGGCTTTTCAACACAAACACACCCCCCGATTTTAGTTTAGAAAAATGATTCCTGTTTATATTTAACAACATGCTAAATTCTGTTGTTGTTCTGTTTAAAACTCTCAAACACACTGAAGTGCCACAAGCTCTTTATGTGCTGCTGCCATCTAGTGTTAACAGCTTGAATTACAATCTTCAGTCTGATTCAAGCTGTAGTGGATTTAATCAGAGGCATAAAAGTCTCAAAGAGATTTATTGCTCACTAAAGATTTCATATCCTGGTCTAAGGTTGCGTATTGCCTTTAAGTGGATGGTCCGCGCCTTTTCTGGTTACCTTTCCACTGATCAGCTGCTCCTTCTTTGGGATCGAATCCTGGGCTATGACTCATTGGAGGTCGTTGCAGGTAAGTTAATCCTGAACTCTTATCTGATGCTGCTCTCCATCCTTCCTGTCTTTAACCTTATTATCTCACGCCTTTTCCTCTATTCTGCTCTCTGTCCGTCGCCTCCGCAGTTCTTGCAGCAGCTGTGTTTGCCTTCCGTGCTGAGAACCTGATGGAGGTGACGTCGCTGGCCTCAGCAGAGGTACGTCTATCTCGCTTTAGGTTATGTCGGCAGATTTGTTTGGAATGTGGAGTCTATTCCCATCACTTACGTCCAAAAAAAGCTACAAATAGCCTTAAAATAATTAGTTCCTCTAACTCCATGCCCCGGTGCATGCTTAGAAGGACCTTTATGTTTATGTTTTAGTCATTGCTAGTGTAGCCTTACATTGTTAGCATAACCCTGAATCCAGTTCATGTGACCCCTCATCCTTTCTCCCTACCCTTACGACGGGGGGCGGGGGGTTAAGGGACAGCATGATATGGAGGCCAGTAGTTCCAGGGGGCACTATTTGCTTGCAAAATTTCCCACCTTCCCTACTTAAGAGAAGGTATCATAACACACCGCTCCTTATTTTATATTTAGCACCGCAGGCCCAGTGCTGAAATTTTAAACCCTCTTTCTAAACATGATCGTGTCCCTAAATTTAATCCCCCCCTAAAGTGATCCCAAAAGGACAGGGTGGGAATCTTGGATCATCCTGGTGTCCTGTTCAATATGGATATCATTTTTCTTTCTTTTTTTTTTCTTGGTTATGTCCCGTATTGATAGGTAGTTGTCTAATTTGCAGGCCGTCCTCGCTGACCTTTCAACCCTGAAGGTCGTACCGCTCATCCAGATCTTTCTCTTCGCCACCGCCATCTGAAACCCACCGAACATGAGGACCTGTGCTCAAAAACCAACAAACTCACTCCGGGTGACAAAACAGAAAGAAAAAAAAAAATTCATGGGGAAACGCACGCCTGATCTGGTTCAAGCAAAAAGCCAAACGCACCTTTAGCCCTATTAATAGTAGTCCCCCCTTTATGATGATATTAGATGTCATACAGTATGTAAGCGGACCCTCAGGCCCAGCCTGCCTCATTAAGCTGTAGGGGAAAGATGATCCCCGCTGCAGTCCTCTGATCAGCTGAGGTGAGTTGCATGAAGCAGTAATTGTGTCACAATGGCGGCGAGTGGGAAGGTGCAGCTGCAGGAGCGTCCCTTGGCCGGCCTAATGAAGTGTTAGCTAGCCGCTGCCATTAATATAGCTCAGCGGCTCCTGCTTGTCATTATTAAACTGTTAGTTACTGATGAATGATCTGGCATCTTAGTTTGCTTCAGCATGCTGAAAGATAACCTGCAGTGTTGTACCCCCTGCCTCCATTGTTATGAAGTAGTTAAAAAGCTTTATGATAAATTCAGATTTTACTCCAGTGGAATGATCTGAGAGTGAAACTTTCTGTAATCGTTTTATTTATTGCCAGACCTGTTTGTGAGAAGCTACGCTGTAAAAACAATCAGAGAAATTATTTAGAATATTAGAATTTATTAAATTAAGCGTATTTACCCTCAGTTTAGTAGGTAAAGAAGATGATTTGCCAATGGAAGGAGTGTCATCCCCTTAAAATAAGATAATTAGAGATTATGGCCTTGAAATAAGAGACTGATGTTGTTTTTTCTTACTTTAAATGTAAATTATTCCATTGGCAGGCTCTCTCTCACTTGCTCAAATAAAGAATGAATTACCGGTAACTTATTTTAAAGTAAAGTGACTTACTTCAATTTTTGCAGTGCAATTAAACGTTTAACTGAAATCATCTTTATTACCATACATTTAGCAGCTTTTGATGTTTCCTCTGGAAAAAGAAAGCATAAAAAGTATGAATTTTTAATGAAGGATTAGTCCCTCTCTAAATAAATGCACAGATTTATTCCCTTATATTAGTTTAATACAAAGCTATAGCAGTAAAAGAGTAATTTATTTGAAAGACTTTTACGCATCGTACCGACCCGAGGGACTGCTGGGCATATTATGGTATGATGGACCCTGTGAATAACAATGCTGTTTGCTGCTCCCTGTGTGCAGTTTATTGCATTTATGAAGGTTTGCTGCACTCTTGATGGATGTTTTGCACCTTTAGTGCCAATGTTGTTTTTATTTCATTGTTTATTTTTTTTACCATTGTGGTGTTTTTTTTTATTTGTACGCTTTGGAAGTCAGTGTTATGCATTAAATCTTCTGCTGCAAAACAAGTTTTTCTTTCAAATAAAGGTTATAAAGTTAATCACTCCTGTGTCCTCAGTGCTGTTTCCTTATATGTTTTTCTTAACTGAATATTTGTGTGGGGTCATATGGCAAGATAAATGTTTGGACAGGCGTAAGTGTGCGTTGGAGGCTCTCAGCAATCATTTCTAAATGAGCCCTGGTTCTTGGCCACCTCGCTCATCCCTCTCGGCCCTCTCGTATCGAATTATGCTGTTCCTCTCTTTCGTCTTTCCTCTCCCCTTCCCGTCCCTCTCTTGGATTCTGCTTCATCTGCCACCTGTTTACTAGCACTCCCACGGCTGACTCTTTCATCAGTCATGCTCCTCCTTTCGTGTGTGTTGATCCTGCAACATGTACCTGCTGTGGTGATTCACTCGTAGCAGTCCCTCCTTGTGGCCGGTTGGTTGCATTGCAGGGCAGCTTGCCCTCTGTCCATCAACACCTGGGAGCTGGATAACGCCGAAGGATTTCTCTCTGAAATCCAAATCAAGCACAGCGATCCTAGTAGATATTTGTGCAGCACTGCCTCCTTTGATGTCTTTCTCCTAAAGGTATAAAATAGCTCATCACTGATAATCTTAGAATTTCTATTTACAGCGCTATTAAAGACTAATTACCCCCCCTTACAAATTTCTTCAGGGGGTTTTCTTTGGCACATTTGAATGGCTCTGATCTCAAACAGATTCTGATTTCTTCTGATATTATTTTCCATCTTTCATCTCTTTCACCACATTATTTTGACCCGGCTCTTATTACCCTGGAGTTTTTACAGCGGTCATGTTCGAAATAAAAGTAAAAACAGTTTTAAACAATGATGCTTTTTATAAAAGGAAATGGAAAACTTCTCAAACCCACTTGGCTCCATGTCGAAAAGGTAATTTGGAGGTTTCTGTTTCACTAACTATTACTGCTGAACCTTCAGGATTACAAACTCGCTCTAATATACTCAACTAAATTATAAACGCAACACTTTTGGTTTTGCTCCCATTTTTTATGAGAGGAACTCAAAGATCTAAAACTTTTTCCAAATACACAATATAACCATTTCCCTCAAATATTGCTGACAAACCAGCTTAAATCCGTGATAGTGAGCAATTCATACCATCTCACAGGTGTTCCGTATCAAGATGCTGATTAGACACCATGATTAGTGCACAGGTGTGCCTTAGACTGCCCACAATAAAAGGCCACTCTGAAAACCAGTCAGTATCTGTTGTGACCACCATTTGCCTCACGCAGAGCAACACATCCTCTGTTGTGGCCTGTGTAATGTTGGTCCACTCCTCTTCAATGGCTGTGTGAAGTTGCTGCATATTGGCAGGAACTGGTGCATGCTGTCGTATACGCCGATCCAGAGCATCCCAAACATGCTCAATGGGTGACATGTCCAGTTAGTATGCTGGCTATGCAAGAACTGGGACGTTTTCAGCTTCAAAGAATTGTGTACAGATCCTTGCAACATGGAGCTGTGCATTATGCTGCTGCAACATGAGGTGATTTTCTTGGATGTGTGGCATAAAAATGGACCTCAGGATCTCGTCACGGTATCTCTGTGCATTCCGATTCCACCAATAAAATGCACCTGTGTTCTTGGTCAATAACAGATGCCTGCACATACCATAACCTCACCTTCACCATGCGCCGCTTGATCCATAACATTGACATTAGAAAACCGCTCACAAACACGATGCCACACATGCTGTCCGCCATCCACCCTGAACATTGTAAACCCTGATTAATCCGTAGAGAGAAGGACTCGCCAACGTCCCGGAAACCAGTGAATGTGAGCATCTGCCCACTCAAGTTGGTTACGACGGTGAACTGGGCTCAGGTGGAGACCCCGATGAGGAGGACAAGCCTGCAGATGAGCTTCTCTGAGACGGTTTCTGACAGTGTGACCTTTTATTGTGGGCAGTCTAAGGCACACCTGTGCACTAATCATGGTCTCTAATCAGCATCTTGATATAAACACCTGTGAGGTCGTATGGATTATCTCAGCAAAGGAGAATAGCTCACTATCACAGATTTAGGCTGGTTTGTGGACAACATTTGAAGGAAATGGTTATATCGTTTATGTGGAAAAGTTAAGGATCTCATAAAAAATGGGAGCAAAACCCAAAGTGTTGCGTTTATATTTTCGTTGAAAGTGAGATTGTAATCCTGAAGATTCAGCAGTAATCAGACCTGGATATGGTTAGTGAAACAGAAACCTCCAAATGACCTTTTCCACACGGGGCCGAGTGGGTTTGAGAAGTTTTATCAAAAATTATATTTTTGTTGCATGTAGAACCTGTCTGACAACATGAAGTAGACCAACATACTGACTGATACTGAAGAACAGATTTAAAATCATTCTGATAAATTTTTTTTGTATCTGTTTTTTGGTAAAGATGCACACAGGGGGATGCAGGAGGTTACTTTATTATTTTTTCAGAAAATAATTTATGTCGAGAATCTTATTTCAAGAACTCATGTAATGGAAGCACAGCGGCGTAAGTGTAAAAACCTCTCTCTCCATAGCTGCCCGTTTTAGAGAGACTGCATACCCCCCAAAATCAGCCATCATAATTTAAACCCTGAAATCTCACGCTTGACCATTTTTTTCTGTTCTGTTTAAACACATCTGCTAAATCATTTAAATGTTTTTCTGATCAGAAATTAGTATCTATAATGCAAAAATTGAAAAAAAAAAAAAAAAAAAAAAACTTTTTTGTCTAGATTTTATTAAAAGCAGTATGTAACAGTGTGTTAGTTTCTGCTAAATAACTGCAGCATTCAAACCTTCCTCATAGTTGCTCCACCAGCTTTTTTGCATGTTCCCACAGTTAATTTGATAATTTATCTTATCTGTGCGGCTGTTGGGATTCTCTATAATCACCCTAATGCTTTACTTCCTCCACAGATTTCCTATGAGATTTAAAGTTGGGACTCTGTCTATTCTACTCCAATATATTATTATTACTTTGACCAGAGGAAAGAAACATGCTGTTAAAATTTCTAAAGATAACTAAACCTGTATCTTCTTGGGATCACTTTTGCATGTCGTAAAAGGGGGAATCCCCCTAAGCAGAGGAATATCTAGGGGTTCCCCTTTAACCTTTATACTCCATGTTTTGATTAAACTGAAGACTGTAAACGTTTATTTCACATAAACCAAAGATAATGTGATTAGCCGTCCTTTATTGCTTCTACAGTGTGCATGGGCAGGTTTAGACGGGGCCCAACAGGGGCCAGTGCCCCTGTTGATCTGGTCCTGGCCCCTTTTATGACCCCTGTACTGAAAGCATACACTACAAAAATGTAAATGTAATTCAAATTGTTTTAAATAAGTATTTTCTCTTGATTTGAGCAGGTACATAAGACAATTTACTCACAGAATAAGATGAACAACATTTAAAATAAAAATCAATTCCACAATAATGTTTCAAGTGGAT